CTTCACAGAGGCCAACGCGTCTCTGTCTGGTGTAGCAAAGACTAGGTCGTCTACGTAGACCAGGATGTACAACGGAGTCTGGCCAGCACGAACGAAGAGCGAAGGGTCAACGGAGGTCGGAAAGAACTACATGTCAGCTAGCGTGGCACGAAGTGTGTCATGCCACTCACGGGGCGCCGGACGCAAGCCGTAGACGGGGCGCCGGAGGGCCACTGCGTCCTAGGAGGGAAAGTACCGGTGAAGCCCTGAGGGCGGCGCAGGTAGACCTGCTCGTGTAGGCTGCCCTGAAGGCAAGCAGAAGAGAAGTCGAGGGAGTGTAACTCGTAGTCACGCTGTGCTGCTACGTGCAGCAGCGCCCGAAGAGTAGTCATCTTTGGGTCGGGACAAAGGTCTGAAAGAAGTCCACCCCCTCTCGCTGACTGAAGCATTTAGCGACGTAGCACACCTTGAATACAGGCGGCTCTCTAAGGGGGCGCTTTACCTTGAAGAGCCACCTGCCATCGACCCCTCGCGTCTACGTTGAGACGAAGGCGTCGGGTCAGGAGATAGAGGAGGAGTAACAGGAGGGGAACGAGAAGGGAAACGAGCCGGGGACGAGTCTGGCGGAGGAAACACAGGACCGTGAACAGGAAGAGGGGGAGATAGCGAGGGAGGCGCAGGCGAGCGGTCAAGGGAGGGAAGCCCGAGCAGGCGAAGGTCGAACACCGGCGGCGACTGCTGCTGCTCAACGCTGACACCTGGACCACCAGCTGCACCATTGCTACCTCTTGTACACTCCACGCCAGCACTCCCAGAACGAGAAACGTCTCCAGCGCCAGTGCCACCCCCGAGCCCGCCGGGACAAGCCACGATAGGAGCCCCAGGACTAGCACCCTCTCCAACTCCAGCACCCCAAGAGTCCACGAACGGCTGCGGCTGCAGCGGCAGTGACGTCTGTGGCTGCGGCGGCGACTGTGGCTGCGGCGATGATTGCGACGAGGGAGGAGGAGACACCGGGGGAGGGACAGGCGGCGCAGACTGCGCCTCGGGGCCACCGGAGTCAGCCGACTCCTCGACCGGGACAACCGACGGGAGGGGAGTGACGTGAGACACACCAGACGGAGCAGGACGAGGAGGAAGGGGAGCAGGGGCGACTGGGGAGTGGGAACTAGAAACAGGGGGGAGGAAACCGGGAGACCTCGGTGAGGAAAGCGGTGGAAAAATGAGACAGACTCATCAAAAGTGACGTTACGGAATGAAGGAAGCGGTGGGACGACGAGTGGTAGAAGTGCCAGTCAGACGAGTCAAGGGGGAAATCGAGGAAGGCACAAGGGATGGTGCGGGCAGTGAGCTTGTCCGTGCCGGAGGCACGAACGTGAGTGAGCGACCGACACGAGCAGGCCGCAGCTACCTGGGTCGACGCAAAACCGGAGGAGGACTCGCCCGCCGGGGGGGGAGCAGTGTCTAGCGTAAACAGGCCAGACACAGGGTCACGGTGGAACGTCGCAAGGGGGGCACCTGAGACGGCCTCGGAACAGACTGCGTACCGCTCGTGACCAGGGAACGTAGTGGTGACGCCGAGGTCCTGAAGACAGCCGACACCAACAAAGTTTTCGGAGAACGAAGGGATGTGCAGGCCTGTAAGGGGACCTGAGGGAACCGCCGGACAGGGAAGGGTACTGTAGCTACGAGCAACTACAGGACCAGAGGAGGGGTCCGCAAGAGCGACAGCGGTAGGCACAGCAAGCGGCGTGAGTGCGGTGTGGTCGCGGAAGAAACAGGCTGATGCACCGGAGTCGAGAGTGAAGGACAGCGATGCCGTAGTGGCCGACGACGGAGGAGCAAGGGTAGAGCCTAGGCTAGACAAAGCAAGCTGTCCTACGCCTGATGCAGCAGGGGAGTCTGAACTATATACAGGTGCTATGCCTAAGCTAGAGAACACAGAGTAATGAGATCCGGAAACACTCGAAGCGTCAGCATAGAGAGAATGCAAGGCAGAGTTCATCTAATCCATGTCTAGGTCAAACACAGGAACACCGTGGCGTAGCAGGCTGGGCCAGTCAGGGAGGTCCGGGGCGGGACCAAAGCGGCGACGGAAGAGGTCGTCGAGGGCGGCGGAAGCAGCGGCGGTGGGGTGCGGGCGGCGGCACACCGTTCCACGCAGGGGCCCGGTCTGAAGCTGGTACTGGCAGCTCACAGCACCGAAGCTGCCGGTGGACGCCGAGCTGCGAGGGCCACCACCACGACCACCACCGCCAGGGTCTCCTTGCCACCCGGGCGGGAGACGAGCCTACGGCTGCTGCTGGTGCAGCTGCGGCTGCTGCTGCTGCGGCGGCTGCGACTGTGGCGGCTGCGGCTGCAGCGACTGCTGCTGCTCTTAAGCACCAACATCAATCCCCTCGTCAGAACCACTGTCCCCGCCACCACCACCACTAGCGCCACCTCCACGTCCTCCCTCGGGGCCACGGAAGTCCCGGTGCTAGGGCTGCTGCGGGTACGCCGTAGCTGCTGTCTCAGGTGCAGGCGTAGTCATGGCAACTGCGGCGGAGATGTCAGCGTACGTGCATTGGGAGAGGGCACAGCCCTAAAAGATAGGAACTGCCCCAACACCGCTCGACTGAGCAATAGTGCGGCTGGCGAGTCTCTATCTCAGACAGAGTGGTGACAAAGACGGTCAGGGTGAGGTTGGCAGGGTGCTGACTAAGGAAGTGGTCCGCGGGCAGTGGCTAAGCGGTCAGGCAGTCGCATGAGGATGAGGTACAGGGTAGCGCAGAAAGGTGGGGGGAAGGCAGTAAGCTGGGCGGCAGAGCTAGCAGCACGGTAGCTGGTCTCTAGTGCACGGAGGTGATTAGCGATGTCAGCTACCGTGGGGAAAGCAGAAAGTTCAGGGAAGAGCATGGGTAGGATCAAGCGCCAGTAGAGGCGGAAGCAGGTGTGGAGTAATGCTCAATTATTGCAGCGAGAAATTCATTGGCTTCGCGACGGCGGTAAAGCGCGGACGCTCAGACAAGGGAGGGCATGGCTATTACGTCGCGAGAATCCCAGACAGCTCGAGCAATCGCCGGCAGCAGCAAAAGCCTCACTCTCAGCCGTGGTAGGGTCAGCAAGGAGGGATCATGCGCAGGGGGGCGGGGAAGCAAACCATCAACTTGCATAGCCAGGGAGTGCCCATCCTGGTGCTGACTTTGTCAGGGGCCGGCGGAGGTCGACGAGCCAGGCGACGAAGTGGATCGCGTGCCCCTCAGTGTCCAAGCGAAGAACGGCGTCCGCCATCGCACGGGTGTGACAGGCAGCACAGCGGCTTCAGCGGCGCAGCGACTCGGCGGTTCCAGGGACATGGCGGCCACGGCGGCTCAGCGGCTCGGCGGCGGCGGGTGCTCGGTGGCTCGGCGGCTCAAGGGGCCGGCTAGGGCACAAGGGCCGGCTAGGGCACAAGGGGCCGTCAAGGGCGCGCGGGGCCGACTACGGACGCGGGGGGGGCGATAGGAGCACGAAGGGGCATAGGGGGCGCGACGGGGCCGGCTAGGGGCGCGAGGGGCCAGTAGGAGGCGCGACTGGGCCGGCTAGGGGCGCGAGGGGACGTCTTGGCGCGCGGGGCCAGCTAGGGGCGCACGGGGCCGGGTAGGGGCGCGACGGGGCCGGCTAGGGACGCGACAGGGCCGTAGGAGCGTGACAGGGCCGGTAGGGGCGCGACAGGGCCGGCTAGGGGCGCGATGAGGCCGGGATGGATGGGTGCGATAGGCGGTAGGGGCGCGAGAGGGGTCGTATGGCGCTACAGGGCCTGCTAGGGATGCGACGGGGCCGTAGGGGCGCGATGGGTCCGTAGGGACGCGCGGGGCCAGCTAGGGGCACGAGGATCCGGTAGGTGGCGGCACGGGGCGGAAGCGAGTGGGTGACCTACCTACTCGTGATATCATGTAAAGACTAGAAAGAATTAATAGAAGGGAGAACAGGGGAGATATAGCGTTTGGGTTGTACCCACTAAGAACATACCCTATCTAGCCTATAACATCTACATAACAATATATGTATAAATTGACAACTTGAACATCATCACTGTGATTTTCTTGTACGTTGAGGTATTGCCAAAAAAAAAATTAGCGGGGTGAAGCTCTTTCGACGTAATTTCATCATATACAAGCAAATCGCACATGTATTGTCACATTGAAGTAGAAATGAATTTATTGATTTGGCATAGTTGCCCTTGCCAATTTATGGGCTGTATTTTTTGGTTGAAATGAAGTATTCTTGTACAAAAATGAATTTTCTATAAGCTCCTTTGTGGATATGAGATTGCGACCTGTTGGTGTAAATCCGAAATCCAACGGCTGCCATCACTTTTCCTTCGCCTTGCTGGGCCCACCCTAACCCTCGCTTTGCTGGCGAGCATGGGACGGCTGAAACTGGCCTTCGCTGAACCTCACGTGTGATTTCACCAGACCTCCTGTTATTGGGCCGCTCTGTTGGCGAGTTTCCAGAGCCTTTTCTTCCCAGACCGGTATGCAGGCATGGCAGAGCTTCGGGCGATTGGCTTTGTTTGGCATGATGCAGACCCAACCACCAACTGCCCCTCCCACTTTTCCTTTGAAGGTGCCCTGGGCTCCAATTTGCAGGAATCTCTAGGTTCAGTTCGGATCCTGACAATCAGGTCATCAAGGGGCGACCTGTTTTCGAACCCCAACCACCGACAGTCCGCTTTGTGAGCTGCTGGGCGAGATTGGGGAAAACAAGCGTGGACGGTGTGCGGTTCCGTGCAGCCCCTCTTGCGTTGGCCTCTATGCCCTTTTTTTTTCGCGACCGACAGGGAGCACCCAAATCCCATCTCCACCGTCGCTGCTAGATCCGAACCAACCAGGTCCAGATTTTGTTCGTGCGTGCGTCTGTTGTGAATCCTGATTTCCGTCCGAGGAGCTGGCTGTCTCTCAAAGCTGTCCAGTCCAGTGCCCCACCTCACACACTCACACCCCCAACTGCCTGTAGGATCTCCGTTGGCTGAGAGCCCTCCACGCCTTGGGAGAGTGAAACTCTCTTCTCTGTCCAATGATCAGGGCAAAATCAACAAGGACCCCTCCTTCGAGGATCAACATTATTCCTCAAGAGTTATCATAGACTCAGGTCTCCCTCCACGCCGTTGTTACCGTCCCAATGTTTGACAACAAAGCGTCTGCTACTAGCTATCCGTCGCGATACCAGCCCGTCGTAAGAAATCCGATGGAGGAAAAAACGCAACGGCTGAGTGACGGCAGCCGTGGCAACTGGTCGAGTCCGCCTCCCGCGCGTAGCCGCTCGCCAATCTCGCTCTCCTGCTTCCAGCATTTCCCGAGTTCCTTCCCGTGAATCTTCGTCGACCCGTCACGTTCCCGCCACATTTCCCCGCCACGTCGGGAGTCCGCAAACTGATGCTTCTAGGGCTACAACGCAACGGCCACCTTGGTCACCTGGAGCCTCTGGTCATCCTTCGGCTCAGCCGCGAAACACTGTAGCCGAAAGGAGCTTTATGAGCAGCCGATATTATCATCCCGAGCATATGGACACACCTGCTGAACTCCCATTGGCCGCCGTCGGGTCGCATCATGCTGTGCTGCGCGAAACTAGAGGCGGCGTCAATCGCGCGAGGGGCCTTTGTGGTTTTAACGAGCGCAGACAAGGTACTGTTACACAAACGGGGCGAGCAAGTTGTCTGGCAGCAGAGGGTGTTTCTGCCAAAGAGGCCAAGGGTACTGCACCAGCTTTGACGTGGCAGGCCAAAGTGGCGTTCAGTGTGCTTCTCCTCCTGTTGCTGGTGGTGCCAATGCTGCTGCCTGACCTTGGAGCACCTCCGAGTGCTATTTTGCTGCTGCCACTTGTGGTTATGCTGCTACTTCTGGGCCTAGCTGCTATGCCTTCCTCTGCAGTTCCTTCTGTTAGTTCACATAGAGAAGCTGCTACTGTATGCTTCTAACTCGGTTGCTTTTAAAGCACATAATAGTTTTAATTTTGTGAAAAATGCAATTCTAGCTTGATCCCCAATAACGTGCACTCGGTTGCTCGCACGAGGAGTATGCACGCATTGTTTTTGGAATGAAGAGGTGATTGTCTAGTTTGAAGTGGCTTGTTTTTCATTGTAAGCCGAGACGTAACAATTGCGTATACTGAGTGTCTGAATGAATTGAAAGCAAAGCCGAGACTCGACCGCAACATGCGGCAGCCAGCCACTCCTGACGCACACTGGGCTGCTGACCTCAGCAATTCTCCAATGGACTTTTCGTTGGCGAAGGAAAGTGATTCGCGGAACGCAACGCGAACAGCGCCACATCGCCTGGGCGTTTTTGTCAGGCTTCTTGGGGAAACCCGCGGGGTGGCAATCCCAAGCTCCGCCCAGCATGATTTTCCCGCATCCGCGCGTAGATCCGTTTGCGCTTCCCCGCCATTGAAGCCTTCCCCGCGCTTCAGCTGAACCGCTGCGGCTATTATCGTGCCCCACCCTCCCATCGCATTCCACCCGATAATACCTCATTATTACCCATTCCATCTCATCCCATTCCCTCCAATCCCATCCCGTGCGATTTCAGATGGTGTGCCCAGGAATCCAGCCTCAGATGGCTTCAGTCTAGCAGGTACTTCCAGTCACAATTATTGGTGCTCCTGAGCTCTGGAGAGTCAACGTGGCTCGCGGTCGCGTCCTCCTGATCGAGCGATGAGCATGGCGACGCCCTTCTTGCTGTGCTCACAGGGCCGTCGTCCCCACGGTTGTGACGACCTGATTTTGGGTTCTATTTGGTTGTGTGTTGATTCTCGGTCCGTGGAGCTGTGTGACAATTTGCTCTGGAGCTACTCTGCTTGCTGCTTCCGTAGTTGAGGAATCCGGTTCTAGCTTATCCGTTCAGCTACCTGACCGAGTCTCGCGAGTCCTTGAAGGCTTCGTCCGTCGCGGTGGTTCTCGAAACCGAAAGCACAGCTCCTTGAATGGTGGTAGGAGGCGACCAGCTTTGTTCAGCTTTGTCCAAGCGGAGAGTGTCAACAGAACCTTCGGTGCCGTAACCTTTTCGTGAAACTTTCGTCTACTTATCCATACAGATAGAATATGGACCCCCGGTTGTCGGACCTCTCGAAGGTATTTCCTCGACAACTCACGAATGTCGCTCTCTCGTTACGAGTTCTCTCGTTTCCAGTTCTTTTGAAATGATTCTCTCTTTACAATGTTGTATCGAGTCTCGATCCCGTGGTTTCGCTCGCAGTGGCCGTTGGACTTCCTTTGGTGCACCGACGACGGCTGGACAATGGAGAACATGCCGTCTGATTCGGCCGTTGAACTCGCCTTACAGGTACGCCGGAGAGCTTCTCCGTCCACTTGACGAACTCGTTTAGGCTTGCTCGCATCGTTCGTTGGTTTCCCGGTCAGGCACGAAACGAATGGAACTTCCGTGTTGGTTGGAACTTCCAACCATGGATGGAGCTGGTGGTGTTTCTGGTGATGCAGAGAGACGACGAGCTGCTGAAGATTCACGCGGAATTCGTCCCAGCGATGCTCAGCCACGAGGAGTTCTGGAAGCGGTACTTCAGAACCGTTGATGTCATTGAACGCTACCCAGGATGGACGTCCGATCAGATGGTAAGCCGTTACCCTACAGGAAAATACTACATCCACTTTCGTGCTGCCAGGAGTCGTTTTTTTCCCCCTTTTTTTCCCTTTTTTTTTCAAGGAATTTAAGATGTGTAATGCGAGATTTGGCCATGCAGGAACGGCAGATAAGGTCTGCTAGTCACGCGCTGCAGTACGCTCTCAAGAAAAACAGCATTTTCGGAAATGAGGACAGCAGCGCGCCGAAGGCCTTTCTCCTGCGAAACCTGGCAAACGCCGTCTGGTGCGTTTGCTGATGTTATCTCGTCCCGACTGCTGGTTTTCTTGGGCGATTACATCGTTTGAATTGATTGTGCTGTACTGTTGTTGTTGTTGTTTTCTTCCTTTCTTTTCCTACAGTGACGCGGAACAATACACATCCGTGAAGGAGCTAGCCGACAGTATCTATTCCCCCTCTGGCGTGTTATTCCGTGCTGTGGAGAAGACCCTGAATGGCTCCTCATGGCTCCCTGTAGCCACCACACTGGAATCACCTCCACAAGAAGCCACCCTCTCAGATTGCTCTAGCGAGGATGCCGTCCGGATGCTCTTCAAATCAGGTGCCTTGCCAACAAGCCATTTCTTGTTCCGTATCCACCTGTTGTTACTCCGGAGGAGCTTTGATCCTCTCCGATTGCTCTAGCAAGGATGCTATCCGAATGCTCCTCAAATCAGGTGCCTTGCCAACGAGCCAACGAGCCATCTTTCGTCTTTGTCCTCCTGTTTTTCCTAAGGAGGTTACTTCCAATGAGCTTTGACCACAGGCCGAGAAATGGCATAATAAACGCCATTGCTCGTGTCTCTTTTGTCTGCTCTTTCATTCTGGTAGCAGGGGAAATGGATTCATTCGTGTCAATTCACACGTAATTAACGTCTATTTGCTTCGTCCTGGCGTCTGTTGTCTCATTCTGGTAGCAGGGGAAATGGATGCATTCACTTGTGGCTGCTGGCGAGCCCTCACCAACTTCTCCCCCAACATCACCCACTACTCCTCATCCAACGGCTCCCATGTCTCCTCATCCAACGGCTCCCCAATAAGCTGCCATGGCTGCTGCTGCCAGGACACCGACCTGGACCTCGATCTGATCTCCCTCCCTCCCCTTCGCGAGATCACTACCAAGAGATCTGGACCGTCGACAGTGCAGCCTGGATCGCCATCAACGGCGTCTGGTTCACCATCTGGATCGTTCCAAAGGGTGCTGAATTCCCTGCATGGAGCGCCTGCTGGGAGCTTGGCAGTGCGCCTGGGGGAGCTGATGGCGGGGATTGGGTCTCCAGAGGAGATGGCACGACTGTGGCTGGAAGTGATGCAAGAGGTACGCATGGGAGGGTAGGGCTATACATTCTCTAAAATTGGAGCCCCTGCTGGGAGCTTGGCAGTGCGCGTGGGGAAGCTGATAGCGGGGATTGGGTCTCCTGAGGAGATGGCCCGGCTGTGGCTGGAAGTCATGCAAGAGGTGCGTACTGCTCGTGTGGGCGTGTGACTTCTGAGTCGACTCAGAAGTCGCCTGGGGGAGCTGATGGCTGGCTGGGACCGTTCGTACTTGAAGATTTTGGTGCAAAGTGTTTTTTAGAATTCTCAAAAACACCCTGCAAAATCAAGGATTTTGGTGCAAACAAAGGGTACGGCACTTGCAGGTGCTGTACACTAAAGGGTTCTGAACCATATGCTCTCATACATTGCGCCATGTGGCAGTTTCGGGGCCGCAGGGAGGAGGGAATAGCCATCCCGTACGTGAGGGAGGAAAGGGAGGGGCGGTTTCGCTTGTGCCTTCTAATGCCTCGCCAATCCCATCCCCACACATTGCACCACGTGGCAGGTTCACGACCGCTGGGAGGAGGGGATTGCCATCCCGTATGTGAGGGCGGAGAGGGAGGGGCCGGATCTGGACCTGTGCGGCGTGATGCAGCACCTGCAGGTGATAAGCGTTTGCAGGTGATAGAGCACCTGCAGGTGATAAAGCGTTTTCAGGTGATAGAGCACCTGCAGGTGATAAAGCGTTTGCAGGTGATAGAGCACCTGCAGGTGATAAAACGTTTTCAGGTGATAGAGCACCTGCAGGTGACACAGCACTTGCAGGTGCTCAACTGTGTTTCTTTGTTTAACGCTGCTGCTGTTTTTTTGGTAGTCAACTATGTGAAGTGTGACTGGGCGGCGCCGCACTTCCTCTCACCATTTGCAGGTGCTCAACTGCGCAATCGTGAGGAAGAAATGGAAGAAGGCAGGGAATCTAGTTGACCCCCCTCTCTCTGAGGTGCCTCTGAAGTTGACCCCCGTCTCTCTGACCACCACTCCCTCAGGTGCTCAACTGCGCCATCGCGAGGAAGAGGTGGAAGAAGGCGCGCATCAGCAGCGACATCCAGAAGCACCTGCAGCACGTGGAGTGCTTCCGCCCAGAGCCAACCGTGCGTGACTTTGGAACGTTCGAGCCGACTCTCTGCAAGACCTGCGGCAGTTATAATCTGTGCGAGGTTCTGAAGTTACCACCTGCCGGATTTGTGTTGGCTGAGCCGAGCAGACCCGTTTCGAGCGAGCAGGACGGATCATGGGCCTGCTTCCCGGATCCAGCTGAGACTGCGACAGGGCAGATGATGCCGCAGCCGGGGCGGATGATACCGCAACCCAGACCAGGCTGCGAAGACCAAAACGCCGATGGGAGCAGTGCGACGCTTGGGCAGGATTGTGGAGACGAGAAGCCAGGAGGGCTGCGTCTGCTGGCGACAGGGGCGCGCATGCGTGTGCCGGAGGTGCAGGACGGGCCGCTGATGACCAGCGATTACCTGGCAGAGCTGCAAGAGGCGGTTATCAGCACCGGCAGGTATGCACTGGGAGACTGCGGTGATTAGAGGGTAAGAGATGCTGCTGGTGGTGACAGGGAGGTGCAGGACGGGCTGCTGATGACCAGCGACTACCTGGCAGAGCTGCAAGAGGCGGTTATCAGCACCGGCAGGTAAGCAGAGGCACTGGGGGACTGTGGGGTGGTGCACTGGGTGCTGGTGTGGTTGTGCCACCGTGAGACTATGGGAAACTCTTTGTCCAGGTAGTATCGATCGATGCTAGCATGTGTTGTTGCCTGCGTGTCTGTCACTGTTGTTTCCCAACAATACAGGCTGATGCTAGCCTGTGTTGTTGCCTGCGTGTCTGTCGCTATTCCGGAACCAAGAACATTGCGCACAAGAGGCTCTTCTCAGCCGCCGTGCATGTGACCATGCCCTCGTTTCCCCATGCATGTCTGTTCTAACGCCAGTGACCTTGCTGCATGACTGTCTCTATGCTGCTTGAACCATGCAGCCTCAACATCGCGCACAAGAGGCTCTTTTCGGACATGCAGGCCTTCAAGGTACGACTCAGCGTGCTCGACCCCCATATTGTGTGAAACCGTGCAGTGG